ACCAATCCCGTTCTCGAGACACATGGGAACGACTTTTGGCGATGGTATTTCCGGATGAGCTGCAGCTGAAGGGGCATACCCTCCAAACTGATTCTGCTGGGCTGGAGGCGTCGTGAGGAAGGCAATGCTGACCTTCAGTATGTGGAGTTCTTTGCAGGCATGGGGATCTTATCGAAGGAATGTGTTGCCAACGAAATGGTGGGGGCCAGCTTGGACAAGGTCTTTGCCCCTGGGCACAATGTTCTCTCATTGAAGGGCTTCAGGTTCTGGCTATCTGTTCTGCTGAGCACCTCCAAGGGAGCCCTAGTGTGGCTAGGCACACAGTGCTCTTCTTTGGATAGACTGTGCGCATCCCAATCATGCAGAACTGACGAGAATTCATTCATGGGTGACACTGACAGATTGTTTGTGAAAAAAGGGAACATGCTTGCCGAGATCTCCGCACTGATGTTTGTCATTGCTCATGCTCTGCAGAACTGTGTGGTGCTGGAGCAGCCAGCAAACAGCTGCCTCGGCAAGTATGGTGCGATGAAATCAGCGATTGGTCTGCATGCGTACCATGTCAAAACCTTTGGAGCATGCTTTGGCCAGGAGTGCTTGAAACCACTGCAACTGTGCGCTAATGTGCCAGAACTAGTACTCCTGGAGAGGTCAAAGCCAGACTTTGCTTGCGAATCCCTTGAAACAGGTATTGATGGTGGTTTCACACAACCCACAAGCAACAAACTAACAAACAACAAGCAACAACCAACAAACAACAAAAAACATACACCAACCAACACACAACCAACAACGAACAACGAACAACAAACAACAAACACCGAACAACGAACAACAAACAACAAACAACAAACAACAAAAAACCACAAACAACAAACAACAAACAACAAACAGCAAACAGCCAACAGCAAACAAGAAACAACAAACGACAAACAAACAACAACAACCAACAACCAGAAAACAACCAACAACACAAAACAAACACCGAGCGCCGAACAACGAACAAAAAACAACAAACAGAAAACAACAAACAACAAAACGCAATCAACAAACAAACAACAAACAACAAACAGCAAACAGCAAACACCAAACACCAAACATCAATATCAAGGAACAACCAGCACCCAACAACAAACAACCAAACACCAACGAACAACGAACACGAACAACATACAACGAAAAACACACAACAAACAACAAAAAGCAAGCAACAAACAAACGACAAACCAACAAACAACAAACAGCAAACAGCAAACACCAAACAACAAACAAAAATAACAAGGAACAACCAACATCCAACAACAAACAACCAAACACCAAACACCAACGAACAACGAACAACATACAACAAACAACCAACAACAAACACCAAACATCAAACAAACAACAACAACAACAACTACAACAACAACAACAACAACAACAACAGCAACAACGAAACAACAAAAACAACACAACAACAACAACAACAACAACAACAACAACAACAACAACAACAACAACAACAACAACAACACCAACAACAACAACAATAACAACAACAACAAGCAACAAGCAACAAGCAACAAGCAACAAGCAACAAGCAACAACAACAACAATAAGAACAAAACAACAGAAAAAACAGCAACAAAACAACAACAGCAGCAACAATAACAGAACAACAGCAAGGCAACAGCAAAACAACAACAACAACAACAAACAACAACAACAACACCAACAACAACAACAACAGCAGCAGCAGCAACAACAACAAGAACATCAACAAAAACAACAACAACAACAACAACAACAACAACAACAAGCAACAAGCAACAAGCAACAAGCAACAAGCAACAAGCAACCACAACAACAACAATAGCACCGCCAACAACAACACCACCACCACCAGCAACAACAACAAGAAGAACAAGAAGAATAGCAAGAAGAAGAACAAGAAGAACAATAATAACAGAAAGAAGAACAAGAACAAGAAGAACAAGAAGAACAAGAACAACAAGAACAACACGAATAGAAAGAAGAATAGCAAGAAAAACAAGAAGAATACTAACACGAACAAGAACAAGAACAACATCACCAACAACACCAACACCAACAATCGCACCAACAACAGCACCAACAACAGCACCAACAACAACACCAACAACAACACCGACAACAACACCAACAACAAGAACACCAACAACACCAACAACACCAACAACGGCAATACCAACACCAACAACAACAACCAACAACAACCGCGACGACAACCACAACAACAACAGCAACAAAAGCAGCAACAACAACGACGGCGACAACAACAACAACAACGACAACAACCACAAGAACAAGAACAACAACGACAACGCCAACGCCAACGACAACAGCAACAGAAAACAACAGCAATAATAACAACACCAACAACATCAACAACAACACCAACAGCCACAGCAACAGCAACAACCAGAATCACAAGCGGAAGCACAACAAAAAAGCAAGCGAAAAACATCACAACGGCAACCAACCACAACGACAGCGACAGCAACAACGACAACGACGACCACGTCGTACACCAACAACAGCAACGACAAGGCAACAACAAAACCAACAACAACAACAACAACACCCACAGCAACAGCAACAACAAAACAACCACAATCACAAGCGGGAACACAACACAAAAGCAACCGAAAAAACATAACAACGGCAACAACACTAACAACAAGAACAACAACAAAACAACAACAACAACAGCAACACCAACAACCAACAAGCAACAAGCAACAACAACAACAATACCAACGCCAACAACAACACCACCAACAACGACAACACCAACAACAACAACAAGAAGAACAACGAGACCCACACAAGCAACAAGAACAACAAGAACAACAAGAACAACAAGAGCAACAAGAACAACAAGAACAACAAGCACAAAAACAATAACAAGAACAAGAACAATAGCAAGAAGAACAATAACAAGAACAAGAAGAACAAGAAGAACAAGAAGAACAAGAAGAACAAGAACAACAAGAACAGCAATAAGAACAGGAACAAGAAGAACAAGAACACGAACAAGAAGAGCAACAAGAACAAGAACAAGAAGAACATGAACGAAGAACAAGAACAAGAACAAGACAATGAAAAAGACAAAACAAAAAGAATGACAACAACAAGAACAAGAAGAATAACAAGAACAAGAATAACAAGAAGAACAACAAGAAGAACAAGAATAACAAGAATAACTAGAACAACAAGAGCAACAATAACAAAAATAATGGCAAAACAAGAAGAATAGCAAGAACAAGAACAAGAGCAAGAACAATAATAACACGAACAAGAACAAGAACAAGAACAACATCACCAACAACACCAACACCAACAATAGCACCAACAACAACACCAACAACACCAATACCAACACCAAAAACAACAACCAACGACAACAACCACGACAACAACCACAACAACAACACCAACAGCAGCAGCAACAACGACGGCGACAACAACAACCACAAGAACAAGAACAACAACTCCAACGACAGCGACAACAGCAACAGAAAACAACAGCAATAGTAACAACACCAACAACACCAACAACAACACCAACAGCCACAGCAACAGCAGCAACCAGAATCACAAGCGGAAGCACAACAAAAAAGCAAGCGAAAAACATCGCAACAGCAACACCACCAACGACAACAATCACAACCCACAAGCAGCAACCCCAAACCTAACAACCATAACCGCCACCACCGCCACCAAAACCACAGCACCAATACCAACCACAACGACAGCGACAGCAACAACGACAACGACGACCACGTCGTTACGCCAACAACAACAACGGCAACGCAACAACAAAACCAACAACAACAACAACAACAACAACACCCACAGCAACAGCAACAACAAAACAACCACAATCACAAGCGGGAACACAACACAAGAGCAACCCGAAAAAACATAACAACGGCAACTAACAACAACAAGAACAAGAACAAGAACAAGAACAAGAACAACAACAACAACAAAACGACAAACAACACCGACACAGACAGCACCACCAACACCACCACCAACAACAATCGCAACCCAACACCAATAACCACCGCCACTGCCACCAAAACAACAACACCAATACCAACCTCAACGACAGCGACAACAACAACGACAATGACGACCGCAACGATAACAACACCAACAACAACGGCAACAATCATAGCAACAACCAGCAACCAACAACCAACACACATCATCAATCAACAACAACAACAACGACAACAACAACAAGACCCAGACTAACACCGACAACCACGACGCCAACAACGACAACAACGACAGCCGCAACGCAAACAACAAAAACAACGACGACGACGACAACGACGACGACGACGACGACGACAACAACAACAACAACAACAACAACAACAACAACAAGGGCAACAACGAAAAACCACAACAACAACAACAACAACAACAACAACAACAACAACAACAACAACAACAACAACAACAACACCGGTACCTACAAGAGGAAAAACACACACCAGCAACCAACGAACGCCAACGCTGCCGACGACAACGACAATGACTAGAACAGGAGCACCAACAACAACGAAAACAATAACCTCCACCACCACAACCGCAATGACAACCGCAACTACAACAGCAGCAGCAACAACAACAGCCACAGCAACCACCACAACATCAACACCAACACCTACAACAACAAAAAGCACAAACACCAAGAACCACACCAACGCCAACGACGAGGACGACGACGACAACAACAACAGCAAGAGCAGCAGCAACAAAGACAACCGCAACCACAATGACAGCCACAGGTACAATCACAACAGCAGCAACAGGAGCAACCAACCAACCAACCATGACGGCGACAGCAGCAGCAGCAGTAGCAGCTCCAGCTTCAGCAGCAGCCTCGCCGTGATCAATTTGCCATTTGCCCACTTGGGGATGCATTGGGCAGTGAAGCATTCTCCTCTGCGCCAAGCAGCCGAAGATTCGGCCCCGTCGTGTGCGGTTGCGTCTCTCCATGGCGAGTCCGCGCCGGGCTTTCAATCACTGGAGCCACAATCAGTCGACCGGCGTGTGGGACTGAAACCTCTGAAGGTCAATGATCTCATGAGCCAATTCAAACCCTCTCCACTCCTATTGCAAACAGTGATTTGGACATCAGCTCGTGATCTACTTTGTGCAGTCACTGGCTATTGACGCAGCTAGTATGTGGCTGGGGTACAAACGCACAGTGAGGGTATCAATTCTACCAGAACCGGCTGGTCCTGAAAATGGCTCAACAACTTGCGCACAAATCTTGCGCTAGACCGAATCAAATTGAGTGCGCAAGGGTGTGCGATGTTCCCCGTTTGTCGAGGAAAACAATCAGCCATCCTGGAGTATCAGGGGCGCAAGACACGCGCATGCGACCAAGCTCCACAAAGCAGACGCTTTTGTTTGTGCGTTCGCGCCCCGTCTTCTCAGCGTAGGCTCACAATGCCAAATGCTCCCCTCAGCAACCACGCTCAGCAAAACAGATGCGCAACTGGCCATGTTCCATGGTGTGGCCGGCAAACCAAGGCAACCGATAGGCAAAATCTTAACTAATACAGAATGCACGGCTACTGCTTGGCAGCAATCAAACATGCCAACACCGCCAAGTCGAAAAATGTGTCACCTTCTTAGAAGGAACGCGAACACGTGCCACAAGTGTATGACCTATTACTTGCGGCCTGAACAGCATAGTCTACTGGACAAACGCCAGAAAAGTGATTTTACATGATTTGTTGCCTGCACAATGGACCCAGCTCTGTTGAATAACATGCCTCGAGCCTTTAGCTATGTGTTCTTTGCAGCGCCGGGAACGTTGTGTCCAGTGCTGTGTCTTGAAAAGACACAAAAGGAAGCCCATGGAGTGGGGAGATTGTTTTGATTTACCCGAGGGGTGCTTTATGTGAGCCCATGGAGTGGGGAGATGCCTCGTAATAGGCGCAGCCTGCCGCTGCAACGCTTGCGCTCGCAGCTTTGACAGCCCATCGAGTTGTGTGCTGCACATGTTGTCAGTGAAGCTCAAGGGCTCACCCGCTCGAAAGTAAAAACAATTGCTCGCTCGAAAGTATCTATTTTTCAAAAGACATGTGAGAGAGACTTCTACCAGGAGGCTCCGAGTCCCAAGTTACCTTGGCTTTATGCGCTCGTTGACCCCCGTAAAGCCGTGAAAACTCGGCCGAACGGCCGTGATAACTCGCGCGGGAAACTGCAAGGCCGTTGCTACTCCGTGAAAAAGCCGCGACAACTCGTGAAATTTCAAGCTCTGAGTTCTCTTGCCCTCGCGACACCAAAAACCTCCTTAGCTCATATGGCCTATGCGTAACTCGCGAATAGGAGCCTCCTGGTAGTATTTTGACGGGATACGTGACGGACGGACAGTGTCATTCTGTTGATGAGTGATAATGGGGTGGCAACGGGGCGACGACGGGGCGACGACGGGGTGACGGCGGGCGACGGCGGGCGACGGCGGGGCGACGACGGGGTGACGACAGGGCGACGACGGAGCAACGGTGACGAGGCAACGGCAGGGCGACGACGGGGTGGCAGCGGGCGTGCCAAAAACATAAGGCCTAGTTAAGGTCACTTTTATCAAAACTACACCTTCAACTACACCGTCGTTGGTCCGCTGTCGGTCCGTCGTCGCTTCGTCGTCGCTCTGTCGTCGGCCTGTCGTCGATCCGCTGTCTTGCTGCCGCCAGCCTGGCGTCGTCCGTCGCCACTTCGACCGCCCATGTCATTTTAGGCCTTCGCGGCCCGTCGTACCTCTTTTGACCTATTAACTAACACATGTCTTTTGAAACTAGATAAGCCATAAACCCCAGCTCCAGCTCGAAAATCGCAACTTTGTAGTACCAGTCGAATGCGCGGGCTTCCAGCTCCAGCTGGAAAATCGCGACTTTGTAGCACAAGTCTAGTACGCGAAGCACAACCTTGTAGTACAAGCCTACCGCACGTAGTACAGGTTTCCAGCTCTAGCTGGAAAATCGTAGCTTTGACAAGTCTAGTACGCGAAGTACCGGTTTCCAGCTCCAGATTGAAAATCACGACTTTGTTGCACAAGTCTAGTACGCGAAGTACAGGTTTCTAGCTCTAGCTGGAAAGTCGCGACTTTGTAGTGCAAGTCTAGTACGCAAGTACGGGTTTCTAGCTCTATAGCTGGAAAATCGCGACTTTGTAGCGCAAGTCTAGTACGCGAAACACAGGTTTCTAGCTCTAGCTGGCAAATCACGTTTGTAGTGCAAGTCTAGTACGCGAAGTACAGGCAGGTTTCTAGCTCCAGCTGGAAAATCGCGACTTTGTAGTACAAGTCTAGTACGCGAAGTACAGGTTTCCAGAGAGCTGGAAAATCGCAACTTTGTAGTACAAGTCTAGTACGCGAAGTACAGGCTTCCAGCTCTAGATGGAGAATCGCAACTTTTGTAGTCCAAGTCTGGCGCGCGCAGTAGCGGTGTCCAGCCCCAGATGGAAAATTGCAACTTTGTAGCACAAGTCCAGTGCGATCGAAAATCGCAACCGTGTGCCCCAGTATAGCGCACGCTCGCAACTTTGCAGTGCCAGTCTAGTGCGCGAAGTGCAGATGTCCAGAACTAGCTGGAAAATCACAACTTTGTAGTACAAGTCTAGTGCGTGAAGTACAAGTTTCCAGCTCTGGCTGGAAGATCGCAACTTTGAAGCGCAAGTATAGTACGCGAAGCACACGCCCGGAGCCCCAGCCCGAAAACCGCAACTTTGTAGTACAAGTCTAGTACGCAGGGTACAGGTTTTCGGCTCTAGCTGGACAATGATGTGTAGCGCAAGTCTAGTGCGCGAAGTACAGTTTTCCAGCTCCGGCTGGAAAATCGCAACTTTGTAGTGTCACGACCGTTGAAGACGAGCTGGCGCAGCCCGTGGCAAATGGTATCATTTGAGAGACCTCCGTTGTCTGTGTCGCTTTGTCGGTCGGACTGTCTGTCTTGCGCGCGGCTGTCATTTTTCATGTAGGCCTCTTCTTGTCTAACAACAAGAGTTGTGTTACAATCTAGGCGGCTCAGCCGAGTTGGGGCAAGGGCACCAAAGTGAAGCAAAGTACAGTTTTACAAGCTGAAGAACATAGTTTGCGCAGTTGGCTTGATTGCGAGCCCCATTGGCTTATACAAAAATGTTCTCTCTAATTACCTTCTTGGGCTTGCGCAAGTGATGCGCATTCGGGTTCGTGGGCTCTGTCTGGTTTTCAGTTGGCTTCCTTTCTAAATAACCAAACGAAAGTGCTCACGCTTTTGCTCGCACAGCTGTGTGTTTCTTGGAGTGGTGACGCCCAAGCATTGCACGTTGGACCTGCGATGACATCAACATGCCCCTAACGAAGGCTCATTAACCTGTACTTCGCGGGCTAGACTTGCACTTCAAAGTTGTGATTTTCCAGAAAAATCCACTTTGCGTACTATTCTTGTGCAACAAAGTCGCGATTTTCAAGCTGGAGCTGGAAACCTGTACTTCGCGCACTAGACTTGCGCAACAAAGTTGCGATTTTCCAGCGAGTACTAGACTTCTCAGCGACACGTCTGAGCACAACTTCTGATTGACACTTCTGAGCGACACTTTTGAGCCACACCTGATTGATCAACACTTCTGAACCACACTTTTTCTGAGCAGCACTTTTGATCCGCACTTCTGATCGACACTTCTGATCGACAGCTTGAGCAACACTGCTGAACCACACTTCTGATTGACACTTATGAGCAACACTCACCGACAGTTCTGAGAAACACTTCTGATCCACACTGCTCATCGACACTTCTGAACGACACGTTTGAGCAACACTGCTGAATTGACACTTCTGAGCGACACTTCTGAGCAACACTTCTGGTCGACACTTTGGAGGAACCCTTCTCATCAACACTTTCTGAACAACACGTCCGACCCAAACTTCTGATAGACACTTCTGAGCGACATTCCCAGAGCAACCAAAACCCTTTAATTAAAGGGCTTTTCACATACCTTAAATAAGGGGTAAAGTCCCTAAATAAGGAAGGTTAAAGCCCCTTATTTAAGGGACGTTGTTTTTAGCGCTTCCAAGTCAACGAAGGAGAGCCAAGTTCTCCTGCTGCTGAAGTTCTCCTACTGCTGCAGGAGCTATATAGGCTTCTTCATTGGCTTTCGCCGTGTCCAGATGCATGTTATAGCCATATGCGGTTCAAGAAAACCATGGGAATGGCTCGTGTGAAAACTTGCTAACTTGCTGAAGGCAACCACTACAGCCGATGCTATAACTTCCTGCGTCAGCATGAAGGAGCACACCCCAGAAAAAAAACTGCAGAAGCGTTCCTGTGCTTCTTCAAGGAGCTGCTGACATGGACTAAAAGGCCAACCAAGAACATGCTTGCAGCTGCAGCTTTGGAAGCTTTCCAACAGCTGGAAGACTGTCATGCCAATGTGTGGGCTATGCACATAGACTTCTGTGTGCAAACTAGCAGGAGCAAGAAGAAGTCCAGCACCACTGGCATGAAAACTCCTGCAGCTTTGAGGGCTGTCATCGAATGCTTGTTTGAGGACATTTCGCCCAAGCACGCAGCTAGCCCAGGGCAGCAGCAAAGTGCTGCATCTGGCGGCTGAGCTAGAACAAGCAAAGTCTGCTCTGCGCGCTTCTAGAAAGCCAGTTTTGCAGACTCCTGTGCCAGTCTTGCATGTAGGGAGCCCATTTCCAGCGTATCCCAGACGAGCGATGAAGGTGCAACAGGCCCTTCTGATTTTTGGGTGGATTGGCTGGGGAGCAAGGTCGACCTCAATGCAAACGAAAGGTTGGAAACAACTTGGAAGTGGCAAAACTAGTTGAAGGGGAAGAAGGCTTTGCCATGGCCACATGGCCGTTTCTAGCACAGAAGTGCCAAATTTGATGATTCTGCCAAGGCCTGCTGCAAAGGCTAAGGCTAAGAAGAAAGCAAAGGCTAAGGGTAGTGCGAGTCCAAAAGCAAAAGCTAAATAAGGCTAAGGCTAAAGCTACAGTGTCGGCTTCAGCTAAGGCTGCGACTGCGACTAATTCGGCTTGC